CCGAGCGACCCGCAGGACAGGTGCAGGCGATCCCGGGAGGCCCTGATCTGCCAGCGGCCCGTGTGGCCTGCAGTTCACGGTGGACGGCATGGGGCAGCCCCAGCCTGCCAAGCTGACCCTAACCCTGCCCTCCCTATTCAGTGGCCTCCACCGAGCCAGCTGTGTTTTAGAAGTGGAAACTACCATTTCCAATGTTCCCTTTCCTTCCGGACCCTAAATTCCTCTGTTAAGAACCGTGTAGCTGTAATACTGGAATCACACCGCACGGCTTGGAACACCCCCTCCCTGATACAGATAAAACAAGTCAGCCCCAGATAGATACCAGCCCCACAGTACATCATTCTCGAGACTGCCTCAGAGTCCTAGAAGGCTGCTGAGGGCCAGACATCTCCCCAATCTCTTCTTTCTGGATACAAAACAGAATAATATGGAAAAATGGCAAAACAAAACTCACCCACCTGCCTGCTACTTCCTGAAGGCTGTGTCCCGGGATAGGTACCAACTTGCTGATGTCTACCTTGTCAATCTAAACTGCAAAGGATGTTTGTTTGGATTTTGGTTGGGAACACTGCTGCCTAGAACCAACAGGCTTTTGGCCGCTGAGGAAGCAGCAAGCAGACACAGAGGTCTCAGCTGTGAGCGGAAGACCTGAATCCTCCTGGACCGCAGACCACAGAGATCTGGGCCTGTGGCTACAGATGTCCTTAGCCCTGAAGCACCAGGCACAGCCTCGCAGTGCTGGGCCCAAGCAGCCCACAGCCAGCCTGGGACAGGGCCCACCCTGAGCCACAATGCAGTGAAGTCACTGCCAGGGGAGGTGGGTGGGCAGGTCGCTGGAGAGGGAGGAGCTCTGTCACAGGAACTCAGGGGTCCTAGCAGGGTGGCAGAGTCCCAGGTAGCCCTGGGAGCTGCTGCAGCAGGAGGGCCAGCAGGAAGGAGCTAGAGCCCGGTCTCTCCCGACCCTGAGTCTCCACCTGTCCAGTCCCCGTGGCAGGGCTGGGAGTCTGGGAAGCGCAGCTCCCAGCCAGCTGAGCATCCACAGGGCAGGACGCTCCAGACACCACCCAACTCTAGGGGCAGCGCTTCCCGGGCGTAGGCAGGACCCCTGGAAGGACAGGCTGGCAAGGAGGGAGGAGGTGCTGCAGAGTGGGTGTCCAGGAGGCCACTGCACACTCCTACACAAGTTCCACTTGGCCACGGCGCCTGACGCCTGCTAATTCTCTCAGAATTTGCACATATTGTTCTGTTCTGTGCTTCTTCAAATCTAGTCTTTGATATGCAGGCTGTGACTGGCTCCTGACGGGTATGGGACACTGGTTCAGCGTCTGGGGAAGGTGTTTTCTCAGAGATCGAAATGTGTCTTCCTTTTTTTTTTTTTTTTTTTTTTTTTTTTGTACGGGGGATTGAATTCAGGAAGTTGCGTTTTTGAGGCAGGTGGCAGAACCACTAAGCTAAATCCCCAGCCTTTGTGTTTTTTTTTTTTTTTTTTTGTACGGGGGATTGAATTCAGGAAGTTGCGTTTTTGAGGCAGGTGGCAGAACCACTAAGCTAAATCCCCAGCCTTTGTGTTTTTTTTTTTTTTTTTTTGTACGGGGGATTGAATTCAGGAAGTTGCGTTTTTGAGGCAGGTGGCAGAACCACTAAGCTAAATCCCCAGCCTTTGTATTTTTTTTTTTTTTTTATTTTTTGAGACAGGGTCTCACTATGTAGTTGAGACTGACCTGGAACTCACTATGTAGCCCAAGCTGGTCTCGAACGCATAGCAATCCTCCTGCCTCAGCCTTCCGAGTGCTGGGATTACAGGCATGAGCCACCAGGCCCGGCTCTTCGTCCTCCTGTTGATGCAGCAATCCTGTATGTGTAAATTTACAGCATGAAAATACTGGCTACTGATTCTTTAAAAATTTAAGCACAGCATTAACAAAGGACCTAGCAATCACGGCAGACCATGAGAATGGACAGCAGGGGCTCACGGGACACTGCCCACCTGTGCTCAGAGTGGCGGACACAAGAGGCCCGAAGTGGAGAGTGCGCCATGGACACACACTGCCAGAAGAGGCTCGGCCTGGGTCCTGCCGTGAGGACAGATGCGCTGACTCCACTTCTAGAAGGGCCCTCGAGCAGGCACACGCCCAGGGACAGGCAGAATGGCAGGCAGGGGCTGGGCCACAGTGGAGCAGTGTTTTGTGGGGACAATTTCCATTTGGGAGGCTGGAAAAGCACCACGGTGGACGGTAGTGATAGCTGCACAGTGCAGGTGTGCTCAGTGCTACTAAGGAACACTTGAGAGTGGCTCCAAAGTTAAACTGTGTGGTGTGTTTTTCTATAAGAAAAATTTAGGTGGAGATGCTAAGGACTTAGAACAGGTAAACACTTCCTAATCGGATAACCTGGCCCAAAGACGAGTACACCAGGGTGCAGGGCGCAGAGCGCCAGGACAGCCCATGTGGCCGAGGGCCCACACGTGGATGGCAACCGAGTCCCCAGCACGATCCCATGTCCCTCAGCAGAGCAGGGCCATGTGGCGTGCGCAGGAGGGGGCTGTCCCTGCGGACGGCTGTTTACTCCCCGGAGTGCTAGCACCGTCCGCTGTCCGCAGTTTAGCAGGCCCTCACCACGCACACACACTCAGGGGACGGCCCTGGGTGTGCTCTGCCATGCGTGGGCATGGTGACTGCGGGCACAGGAGGCCAAGGCAGCGAGGTGTGGGCTGCAGGCAGCTGGGGAGAGGGTCGGATGCCATCTGAGCCCAGCTCTCGGCTGCCAGCCCACTGCTGCCCTGCGATATCGGCAATGGATCCTTGGGGTAGGCCGAGGCTCAGGCCCCTGGGGAGAACAGCGCGAGCCCACCTGTGCCCAGCTGAGGGGCTGCCCTGGCCTCTCCTGCTAAGGGCTGCCCATGACCCCAACATCCCTCTTCCAGCCAACATGGCCAGCAGCGCGAGTGCCTGGCTGCAGGGGCCAAGGGCAGCCCAGAGCACATGTGGCCTGCTCTTGACCTAGGCACACTCTCAGTGCGGCCTGTGGGTGCCCTGGAGAAAAGATCATGGGTGACATCCAAACAAGGTATCTGTGGATTCCCAGAGCCTAAGGGGCTCAGCCAGCCACAGGTCCTGTGGGGGGGGGACTGGGACTGAACCCAGGGCTTCTGACCTGAGCTACATCCCAGCCCTTATTTATTTTGAGACAGGGACTTGCCCAATTGCTCAGGCTGGGCTTGAAGTTGCAATCCTCCTGTCTCAGCCTCCCAGAGAGCTGGGATTACAGGTGTGCACCACTGTGATCTCTTCTCAGTGAGCATGGAGTGCAGCTCCTGTTGGAGTCAAGCCGCTGAGGACCCCAAATGCTCCGAGGCCACTGGCCCTGCGCAGATGTCCCTCCTCCTCCTGTGGCTGGTGTGGCTTTCCCTGGGTTACCCAGTGACCCTGCTCCTTCTGTGGCCTGGATCTGACCTCCCAGCAGGCGATGAGGTCATGGGGTGGGGGGCAGAGCAGGGAGCAGGTGGGCCTTGAAGGAGCCACAGCAGGCCAGGGACAGGCTGGGGTCGCCGTGGCAGGGGCAGGGTCTCCTGCAGTGAGACCTGGTGGGTCAGGCTTCCTGAGCTGCAGGAAGCCATGGCTGTCCCCACACAGACCACTGTGGTGCAGAAACCCAACACGTGCACCTGTGGCTTTGCGGTCACACCCCAGTGGACTCTGCTGGGGCTTCCGGCTGGCAGGGAGGGCCGCTCCAGGGCTTCCACTGGCCTTTCCTGTCCAGAGAGACCTGGTGTTCCAGGTTGGACCAGGGAGCAGGCAGGACACCCACTGCGCAGGAGCTGTGGTCTCCTCCATCCCGACTGACATCAGCTGTCATTCTCCTGCCTGGGCCTGGGCATCGCCTGCCTACCGCACAGGGTCCCACAGTCCTGGGGAAACCAGAGGTCTGAGGGGAACCCCAGCCCCACCCGACCAGGGCATTACCGTTCTGGGGTGTCACTCAGGCTGTCTCTTGTCGAACTGTAAAATCCTCCTCAGGGCTCCCGAACCCACTTGGTGAGTGCCACCTTGATGCAGGCACCCTCAAAGTGCTACATAATGTGCTTGGTCACTGGCTGGGCCACACTGACTGGCATCTGTGAGGACAGCACATGGCAGGTGGGTGCAGGCACCAAGGCTCTGGCGCAGGCCCACTCTTCCCACCACCTCAGCAAGGCCAGAAGCTGCACGCAGTCCGGGCTCCAAGCCCTTTTATGCGGCAGTGCACACGGCGCCCTGGTCCCTGCCTGAGCTCGATGGCGACTGTGTGACTCTGACACTTGGACGTGAACAGACAACACAAGGGACCCTTCTTCCTCAAGAGGACCGGCAGATGTGCTGCTGTCCCGCCGTGGTAGCTGGCAGGTCTCTCCTCGAAAAGGGAGCCGCGGTGTTTGTCACCACGGGCACAGTTCAAACTTTCGAGCCAAGCTCAGGCGGCATGTGTGCACGAGCTAGGGACTTCCCTGCCTGGAGGCACCTCTGCCAGCGGGCGGGCGGGACCCAGAGGATGTGACTGCTGGGTGCTGCTGACAAGCTGTGTCAGCGCCGGGGAGATCTGGGTCGCGCGGTGCCACGTCCCCCTGCCCGGCAGCTGTGTCCCAAAGCTGTCACAGCAGACGTCACTGCAGCACAAGGCAGAGCTATTCCTGTGAATCGAAGGAGCCCCGACGGCGAGCCTCCCCGTGGCACCTGCCCCTCAGGGAAGCTCGCTCCCGACCTCAGGGCAGGTGCAGGAAGACGGTTACTGCCACCTCGGCCTCCCACCACACATCTGTGTGAGCCAGACTTCCCGGCCGACTCCCACACACCCACAGTTTCCCTGAAGCCAGGGATCAGCAAGGATGTAGAACACAACGCCACCACTCCTCTCGCCAACATTTTTTTCCCCACCAGATATATTTTCACACAGGTGTTACTTGTGTCAACACGCATGGGTTTACTACTTTGAAAGGAATAATTTTTTTCTCAAATTTAACTTCCAGTAAGGAATTCTGCTAGAGACTGAGACTGCGGCTTCTGGCATCTCTGCTCACCGAGGTAGGGGACTCTGCGCTGGATGAGGGCCCGAAGCTCCTCAGCAAGCTGCGTTACCCCAACCTGTGCTCCAACCTGTGCATTCCCATTGTTTCCTCTTTAAGGCAGGGGAGAGCTTAGTCTGCCTTGTGGTTTCAGGAAATGTGTTCCGTTCTTGCCACCCCTCCCAGTCTCTGAGACTGTAGGACCCGTGCCAGCGTCCTGCAAGTGACGCAGCAGACTCTCAGGGTCTCAGTGTGCACGTCCTGATGCTCAGGAGGCTGAGCGTGTGTTCTGAGACAGGACTTCGCTCTGGAGTTCAGGCTGGCTTTGAATTCACAGAGACCCTCCTGCCTCGGCCTCTGGAGTGCTGGGATAACAGGCCTGTGCTACCACGCCTGGCCCTCTGAGCAGGTCTCTGACTGTGGATCAGCCTAGGATGTTGGGCTCCATTCCTTTTTCATAGGGGGTAAAACGGAATTTCAGCCATTTCAAAGCAAAAACTCACTGTTTCTTAGAGCACAGGCGGAAAGTCCCAGATGAAGCCCGGCGAATACTTGGCTTCCCGCAGTCTCTCTAACGCCACTGCAGTCCGCTTCACACAGAACTCAGCCCCTGGCTCAGTTCCTTTCCAGACACCCTATGTGGGGCACCAGAGCCCTGAATGGGGCATTTCTTCATCCTTACTTTTTTTTTTTTTCTGGTACTGGGGATCAAACTCAGGTCCTTGCGCTTGCTTGCAAGGCAAGTGGTACAACCAAGGAGCTAAATCACCGACCCTCTTCATCATCCTTACTTTAATAGGTGAGGCCAACAGAAAGAGCACTTCATCTTTGGTACATTTGGTTTTCTGGGTCTATAAAGTATTTTCTGAAAAGAAAGGTTTTTCTCTTTTTTTAATTTCATCTCTTACCTTGCTTACTTTGTTTATCTTAATGCATCTGCTGCAAACGTCAGAACGTCATCAAATAATAAGGTGAAGCGATTAAGGTGCCTGCCTCCTGATTTTGGTCTTCAGGATAAACCTTACCCAATAGTTCATGTTTCCCGGTACAGGCGTTTTTCCTCCTTATGGAACCGACCACCACTGAGGAAATCAGAAAGTTATCACCAAAACACTGCTGGTGGAGGTGCCAGCCCCAGGCTGGGCAGCTGAGTGCTCCACTCAGCTGGGCGGGCCCTGCTCTGGCTGCAGGAAGGAGAACTGTGCCTGGCCCCATGGAGCTCGAGGCCAGGCTCTGCTAAGGGCAGAAAGAGGGAACAGAGGCCCTGCAGGGACAGAACCCCGGTGAGTGTGACCAGGGTCCTGGGGACACAGAGTTCCCTGGATGCTGCAGACACAACGGGACCCTCCCTCCTCTGCGCTGAGTGACCCTTTGGGCCACTCAGGTGCAACTCCTGCTTGAGGGCTTGGAGCTGCCCTTCCTGTCACGGGGCTGGGGAACCTACTGTGGCCAGGTGAAGCGCTGGCCAGCCTCCGAGGTCAGCTCTTTGGTCAGGCGGGTCACCACTCATCTGTGACTAGGTCTCCAGCACTTAGGAACACCAGGCCCCTAGTGGGATTGTTAAACTGATGGATTCTTAGAGGAAGTGGCATCTCGTCTGAGAAGGAGGTGGGCACCTGGGCTACACGTTTGCCAGGGCAGGCTCCTGACTGCGGAGTCCCTGTGCTCTCCTGGTCACCCCACTGCTCTTCAGGAGGGGTCTGAGCCCTCAACAGCCACCCATGCCTGCCTTTCCCGCCTTCCGAAGCAGGAACTTCCTGTCAGCAGCTGGAAGTTGGCTCTGGTGGGATTCACACCACAGACTCAGCAAGCACTCTTCCGGCCTCGGGGCGGCTGGGGAAACACCCGCAGCACAGCCGGTGGGAATGGGGAGGCCAGGGGCCTGAGAGCACGGTAGAGCCTGCTCCCCGGCTCCATATGCTGGGCTGCAGGGACACCCAGCCCCTCGAGCCCCGGTGGCCTGGGATTGGCCTCCCACCCCAGGTGACCCACCCCTAGCAGAGCCCCACCATTCACTGGACCTCAGTGCACTCCAGGGTGGCAGTGGCAGCATCTGGTGGGGCTCTGCTTCTCCACCCGTCCCAGCAGTTTTCTCCCCCGGCAGCCCGAGCAGGGCCGCCGTCATCTCCCGACTGAGCACTGCCTCAGAGCCGTGTTCTGCCTGGGCAGCAGTCTGCCTGGGATGCGGGGACGTCCCACACGCCCGGTTCCAGCCTCTGGTGCAGCGGCAGTGACAGGAGCCTCGCCCTCGCCAACGACACAGGGAGAACTCACTGAGGGGAACAGGGATCTAGTCTGGGCCCGCAGAGGCCCAAAGCAGGATGAGGCCTGGCGGGTCTGCCTCCCTGAGGTCTCCCTTTCCCCTTACCGCTCTGAGGACAGGTCAGTCACCTCAGGAGTGTCCGTGCCCATGGTTTATTGGCCTCCATCTCCCTAGCGCATCTCGTGTCCCTTCTGGCTGAGGACACCAAGGTGAGAGTGACTACAGTAATTTTCAGGATTCAATTCCAGGGATCTGCAGGGACACGAAACTGCCAGGTTTTAGTGTCCAGTTCCAGAGCCCTGGAGCGGTACCTACGAGTCTCGAGCCACTGTCCTGAACCTGCAGCTCCCCATTCCAGCACAGCAGTTTCACAGACCACCCCACGATGAAGCAATGCCCTATGGGGAGCTGAGGCTGCCCCAGAAGGAGCCGACCTGCCCCCTCCTGCCATGACAGCACTCCCAGGACCTCCGGGAACCCGGCCCAAGATGTTGACCAACCAGACCCTAGGGTGACCGTAATGCTGCCAGCTGTGCCACCCTAACCCTGGCTTCTGTTCCCCTTTCCTGTAAAACCCCAAGGCTCTGTCAGCCCGAGGACAGATCTGCTCTGTGCTCCCCAGCATGGCCATGCTGGTAAAGCTCTTTTCCTGCCCTTGCCCCTGTGGTCTCCTTGACTGGCATTTTGGCATGGGCAGCTGAGCCCAGGATGAGGGGACGCAGGAGCTGGGGCTTTTGCCCTAAAACTCAGCTCCAGGACAGAAGTGGTGAGGTGCTGGCTGCTGTGGTCTCCACCACAGCCCTGCCCTCCCCTGTGCCCTTGGACCCAGACATGTGGTGGTGAAGGCTTTTCCCAAAGAGCAGGGGACCCAAGACACCTCCCAGCAGGCTCAAGCCTCCCTGTTCCCCCGATCTCTGGCGCCGACCTCTCCTGGGGGCCTGACTCCTTCCCCTCTCGGGCCATCCCTTCCCTTCCGCACGGCACACAGGGCCATCTGCAGCTGCTTCTTTACGGACCCAGTCCCGGCTGGGGGCTTTTCATAGCCAGCCCGGTCTCACTGCCTCAACATCCCCAGCCTGGGAGGAGCAGCGGTGCGGGAGCCAGGCGGCCTGTACAGCACCCCATCCCTGGAGGCTGTGGCCTCAGCAACACTGCCAAAAGGCAAACGAAAGCAGCTTGGGCTGTGCGGGGTCTGCGCTGAGGTTGGAGGTGACACTAGCACCAGTGACAAGGGCAGAGCTGGAAAGGACAGGGTGCGGTGGCCACACGCAGGCTGACCACCCTGGTGCAGCCCTCCAAGCCAGACAGTGCCAGTCCTGCTCCAGGCAGTACTGAAAAGTACACATTTAATATCAAAAGCCACTTGGAGCGTCGCCGAGAGCTTCCGTCCCAGCCCGTGTCCCAGGTCGCCTAGCCGCTGGACTTGGCGATGAGCTTCTCCAGCAGGCTCATCATGCGCTCCTGCAGCTGCAGGCTCTGCACCTGCAGGATGTTCTGCTGGTCCAGCACGCGGCGCACCTCGCGGCACGTCTCCTCCATGGCGCGGCTCAGCCGCCGCTGCTCCTCCAGCATGGCCTCCAGCAGCCGAAGCTTCTTCCTCTGCAGGTGGCCACTCTGTGCCTTGCGCTTCTTCACAGGCCGCTCCTCCGACCTGCGGGACAGCAGCAGCTGTGGATGAACCGGCCCAGCCTGGACCCTCCCGACCACCCGACCGGACAAGCAGGGACACTGAGGCCCCAGGGAGCCACTGCCCTGCGTGCGAGCTGAGAAGGGGACGCAGGCACCCCCAGCGCGGGGGGCCG